CCATTGATGCTCTGTAGGCAGCTAAATTTTCTGGAATGCGTAAAGTAAGGCCAAATCTTTTTTTATAATATGCCCACCACCACTTGCTTGCAGTTGCTTTTTCTTCGTTCATAAAAAAATTCTCTTGACCAATAGCTTTTGCTAAAAAAAAAGCTAATTTCCGAATTTGAAGCACATTAAGTCCAAACCCCAATTCTTGCATAGCTATTATGTAATTGAATAGTTGCACTTCAAGGTCAGTCGTCAAAGCAAAAGGTCTCCCTAACTTTGGCAAATCCGGAACAGCGTTTTCCTCTTGACTCTTGGTTTTGGCTAAATAGCGCTTTAAAGATGACCAGGGTATTTTCATTTCCTTGGCGACCTTATATATAGACATACCTTGTTGCCGAACCAACTGACTTGCCACTACCATGTAACCCCTGTCATAATCTCTGTATGTGCGCTTCTGCATGGCATATTATTTTTTTTATGAGGAAACGGAAATTTGTGCCACATTCTGAGTAAGTGGGATTTAATCAGGTACTTCACATTTACTGAAAATTTCAGTTTTCCAAAACCTCGGCGCCATAGGTTTAAACGCACCCCTAAATATGTATTTTTGACAATCATACGATTTTGGCATGCGACATTTGCCGTGTGCGACAATTTTCATGCTAAACTCGAAAATTATACCCCAGTGTTTGTTTAACATTTTTATTTAATTTTTAGTGTTCTCTTCTTTTTGTTTCACTGTGTTTACTTTATTCCAATTCTTCTTTTTTGTTATTGTGCTATCATAGGACTTATGTCGTCAGCCTTTGTCAGTATATACTGATAATAATATTAATATTCTGGCCTTTTTGCAGCCATAACTCGTACAGTCCGTCGATATTTTCTGCAATTGTAACTTATCGAAAGAACGTTAGAGTGCAGAAGAATACGAATTGCTCGCAAGTAAAATTGCAACCCCTAAAATATATTTTACTTTTCGTTTCAATTTTCAAAACAGATTGAAAACTAAGAGAAATCCTCCGTCTATGGCATAAAATCTCATTTTCTGTGAATCTTATCCCATAAAATAATAGTTGTTTTTATAGAAGGCCATGAAGTGAAATTTTAAAAGTGTTGTTTGCATTGAACTGCAAAAATATTTGCCGATTTCGCGGCCTTTGACAGGTTTAGGGTAATCTTGGGTTTTCTTTATGTCTGTTTTCGGTGCCTTTCTCTCGCCTTTCAATGCAGAATTATTTAAATGTGTGGCCTCCGATGTAAAATACATTTTCGTATTCAAAACTAGCAACACTCGTTTGTTTCCATTATTGAGGGATATGTTCGACGCGATACACTTTTATTTTTATTGATATCACTAACTTTTGGATCGACTGTATGGGGAAATAAGGTCCTGTATGTATTTGAATTTCTTTCGTTCTTTCTTTTCGTTTGCTTTTCGGCTTTTATAAAAGAACCCTGTAGTTTACTTACAGCTGACGTCATGCAAAATATTGCTTGTTAGTATGATTTCTACTAGAAACAATAAAAATTTTATATGTCCTTGGCATGGAACCACTTTGACTATCTAATTCACTACTGTTTTTGTGTATTTCATAGATCACTTGGAATTAAAAATATTTTTTCCTATTGTAGTAAATTCTACTGGTAAAGCAATTTGCTCAAATTTTATTGTTTAAAAAAGGGTAAGACTTAAATTTAAGATTACGAGAATTTATGGATACTCCCCATGGTATAAAAAATAGAAGGTAGGATACCAACTGTTTCAAAAATAGGAAAACCACGCGCATGACGTTATGCGTAGAGTTTTTATAGGCGGGAATTTAAAAATACTGTCGAAGTATGAGGAAACTAAATGTTATTTACAGAAATTTCATAAATATTAAAGGATAATATTTTAAAAATGACATTAAATATCTAAGGGTATTATTATGGGATAGTTAAGGATAGAGCTATAAAGAAAAATAAACGCAAATACATACATAAAAGAAATATTTATTTGAAGTATCAGTTTTTTCCTTTTCCTTCCTAATAATTTGTTTATGTTATATAAATTATAATGCAGGTTTTAATTTAGAAAAACATTCGACTTCTAAAGAATAGTTTCTATAACCAGGATTATGAGAAGGGTATCTTTGCAATTCGGAATTTCTCAACTAGGGACCCTGGATTAAAATTTCACTTCTTGGGAATATTTAATAATTAATATTCGCAACTAATGTCTCATTTATCTGCAATATATTATCCAATTGAATATATTTAACAACTTATATTATGAATAAGATGAGATTTATGTGTAAGTACGATAATAAAAACAGGTTTTTAAAAAATATCTTTCATACATATAATATAATGCAAAGCATGAAAATAAATGTACCAAATACAAATAATTGCTACATGGTTAAAATAAAATATCAATGCATTTTTTCTGGACCTAGTCACTGACAGTTTTTTAATTCTTTCATCAAGTACAACATGCCAAAATTTTATTTTTTGTGACATAAATAATTTCACCTTTGCTATATATTGCGAAATGTTCAGCTTTCAAGAGGATAGAGTCCCCAGTTAAGAAGTCCTAAGTTGCGAATGAACTTACATGAAGGTTTGCTTTGAGGTCCATCTTATAATTAAAAGGTTAAAAGTGCTTGAAGCACACACGACAATTCTCTGTTTTAAATGTATCTGCCGGCCAAAGGCCACTGCAAGGGCGTCTTCGTTAAATTTTCGAGACGGAGTGGGTAGCATTGCCTATAACATTTCCTTTTTTAGTATATTTTTTTAATAAACGCCCCATGGAATGTAAAAATGTTAATTAAGAAAGAGGCAAGGCTCCCTGGGACCTACAACTAGAGCCGCCCTTTGGCCATTTCTGAATAACCTCTTACTGTCTAGGAATGTGAAAAACAACGTCTTTTTCAACTCCTTTGCTTTAATTTTTATTGTTACATCCGTAAATTACGTACCTCACAAAGAACACTGTTTACAATTTAATACAGATATTCACTTAAAATGTTATAAATCACTATTAATAACTTACAAATTACTGCAATGTGCGTCTGTCATATGATGTTTACCTGGCGTCAACTATATTAACTCTACGCATGACGTCAACGACTTTATGACACTATGCGCGATATCCCCACTGGATACTCCCTATATTTGCTAATTGATCAGCTTTAAGGTTACTAATAATACAGAAATGTCCTGAAATCCATGCCAAGGTGATGTTTATGTTTTTTATATTAGTTAGTAAAATGCTTTGTTTTGTTAAAAAGGAGTAGCGATTATTTTCTGTAGGGAATTTTAAATTTACAATTTTTTGTAAAGCAGCTTTGGAGTCCGAAAAGATAACTTTTTTTATTTTTTCCTAAAACGATTTGCAAGTCCTAGTTAATTGCAATAAGTTCTGCAGTACATATTCGAGTATGATCTGCATAAAAATACCTATAGTCTAAGATCCGAAGTAAGGTCGACCTTCAACCATCTGTTTAATGGATGAAAGTTTCTTTTTAATAAATAAAATATTTTTATAAATACAGCGCAAAAGGTTTGCCTAAGAAAATATGGTCCAGAGTATTTATTTTCTTAAAATAAAAAAAACGACACCCTGTAAAGTATTCCCTAGATGCTTCGATAATGTCTAAACTTTAATCAGCTTGCAGCAGGATAGATTAAAGCTTAAGTTTAAAATTTGGTGTTTTTCTCTTTATCCGTTTTTGGTTTGTCTTCAAAATTAGAAATTTGCAGTTTTCCTCAAATATCTCGAATTAGGTCCATTTTAGGGAAATTATATATAGGAATAAAATAATAGAGAATGGCATCATAAGTAACTTTTATCATGATTCCTACACTTTTCTTATCTGTACACAGAAAGGAAAGCAAAAAATGGCCCTGACCGTATTTTCTTAGGCAACCCATTTGCGGTATATTTAAAAACATATTTTGTTTAATAAAAAAAAACTTTTATCCATTAAACAGATGGGTGAAGGTCGACATTACTTACGGATCCTGTACTACTAGTCTAGAGAGAAAACCTGAATCTTAGAAAGGTATCGCAGATTCGTCGGTCCATAATTTTTTTAAACCACGTATTGGGTCAGTAAAAATGGATAAGCCGTAAGTATCAGAAATACATTAAAGTACATCTTTGAGAAGAAATCTTTCATTTAGTTTATTAGACTTAATACTGGAGTCTCAATTACAGTTCATTTTAGTAAACCTTTTTCTTTCTATTTGATGTTGACAAATGTTTAAATTGACGATAGAATTTTCTCCAATCCATGCTTTTTTTAGAGAAAAATTATATCAAGATCACTTCATAATTTTAAGAGAATATCTCCACTCTCCATGCAACCATTCATGACACGTAAGCTCTGATATTGCAGCTTATCCAATTTTTTTCTGAAATTACTTCGGACATGGGGAAATTACCAGGCATCCATAATCCGTATAGCTTAATACGATAGCAATGTGTATTAAACGAAAAATTTTTTAATCACTGCCGTACCACGTACCACAAAGAGTTCGGCTGACATTTATATACCTCTGTAAGTTTTTTGTTCAATGTAATTTATATGTGCATTCCATTTTTACTTTCCTATCTAGAAATGCTTCAAATCAAACTAGTTTGATTTGATAAGTCAAGTTTGATTTGACTTGAAAAACCAATTTTTTTTTATAAAAGAGTTTGATTTGATTTGAAAATCAATTCGGGAGCTTGATTTGAAATCAAACTTTTTCAAACTGTTTGAAATAGTTTGAAATACGAAAAGTGTTACATAAGTCCACCGGCCGTACCGCATTTTTAATTTCTCAAGGTTGCGCAATGAGAAGTAGCAGGGATACAGTATCCCGGCCAGTTATCTCTGATCCCGGCTTACAAGGCGTCGTCGTAAGATTATTTGTTTTAGTTTTATATTTAGCCAAAGCGACGGAGGCACAAAACGCAGCCAGAGGCTTACGCTGACCACTCATCTCTTTGGATAAAAATACTAATGAGTGATTTGGAAATAATGGAAAGGTCCGAGACTGAACCATTTCAATCCAGCGGTACAGAATGTATCCCTGATGAAAATAAATATGATTCTGAAGCCGATGATGCGGCTATTCAACAAAACGAATTATTAACAAAATCAGCCCTCCAAACCCAATGTAAAGATTCCGAAAATTTTGATATAGATGTAATAGCTTTCTTTCAAACATCTTGTAGTAAAAACCCAGACCAGATAAATATTCCCGGAAATATGAAATTACAAAATATTTATCTGAAGGCAGGGCTGGCTAATAGTTCAGAAAATGTATTGAATTGGTGGAAGAGGCACGAGACTGTATTTCCAATCTTATCTAAAATGGGTAGAAATTTCTTAGCCTTAGCTACATCGACATCAATAAAGAGGATTTTTCAAGAGCTTCTCTAATAATTACCAAACGAAGGAATAGACTAAATGAGGAATCTGTTAGATGTTTAATGTCTTTAAATTCTTGGACGGCTAATAGAGTTTTAACAGACTTTATTTCAACATTACAAGTATTAGAAATTAAAAATTTAAAAAAACCGACTTCAATAACGTGCAGGTGCCATCGCCACTTCAAACTTTCAAACTAGTTTGATCAAAATAAAGTTTGATATTTCAAACTTTAAAAATTTATGGTTTGATTTGATTTGATTCACACCACTGCTAGGTTTGATTTGAGTTTGATTTGAATTCAAGTCAAATTCAAGTCAACTCTTAAAATCAAATTAAACTCGTTCATCTCTATTCCTATTTGTATGCAGAAAATCTGATGTGTCCAACACATGACTTTCCTATCTAGTTATTATAGGCTTTTTCCGGTTATATTGTACAACCTATTGCAGCACCTTTATAAATGTTTAGAAGATAAACTAAAAATATACATTTTCCACAAACTTGAAACATTTTTCTATAGATATTAATTGAAAACCAAATTATTGAAAATTAAAATTTAGTACTCTTTCCCTAATTTTTCCATTTCGGTTCATTTTAGAAAAATCATGTAAAAACAAAAATTATAGAGATAGATATCGCAAACAACTTTTAGTTTAACAATTCTCTTAAAAATCAGAATTTTGCACATTTTGTCAAATTTCTCGAATACGGACCATTTCAGGAAGATTTGACAAAAAGCAAAAATTATAGATAATAATATAAGAAGTAACTTTTATTTAAACAATTTTCTTCTCCATACGTAAATAACAAATATATTCCATAAAATATAAAAATGGCCTCCCATAAAGTACCCCTCAAATGTTTTGTCTTTGTCCAAAATCTAATCATTTTACCTCAGGCCGAAATAAAATTTAAGTTTTCCTCTATCCGTTTTTCAGTTTTCTTCGAAATTTACATATTTTCTCAAATATCTCGAATACGGTCTATTTTAGAGAAATATGTATAAGATAAAAATTAAAGAGAATTATATAACAAACAACTTTTATTTAAACAATTTTTATAAAAAAATATTTTTTTTTACATTTTATCAAATTTCTTAAATACGGACCATTTTAGAAAAATTTTGTAAACAAGACGAATTAAAGATAATAATATTTGAAGAGTTTTTTCTCCAAACGTAAATAACATATATTCTATAAAATATAAAAATAATCACCTATAAAGTACCCCCAAGATGTTCCGACTCTGCCTAAAATCTAATCAGACGCACACGCATACAACACTGACACAGACATATTTGCGAAAATATTGAAAACGGATTTAGAGGACCCCAAAACGTAAAAATTCGTCGAAAACTCGCGGTAGAAAAGAATCATGATTCCTATACTTTCCTTATCTGTATACAGACAGGAAAGTAAAAATATGCCAAATAAAAGTTTTGACAAATTTGTCAAAAATGATTAATTTAAATTATAAGGATGAAAATTATCCTGTGGAAGTGGTTAAAGTACCAGCCCAATACATTTAAATTTCACAACTGACTCATTCCATTTATGATTTTTTTCTCCGTCTCGTTACATTGTAGAAAGTATTTCTTTCACTAGTCTTTGTACCTTAAACGGGCTCATATACATTCAAGGAAAATTTATTTAAAAAAAGTCTAGAATTTCATTGAAAGTAGTCCATTTACTCATTCTACTTTTAGATAATGTTACTTCATCCGAAAATAAAACGCTCTTTAAAATGTCTAGATCATTTTGCATTTTATCCCTATAATCCAAGTCAAAAATCTAATTCCGGAATTCTCCTTGCATTTATATTTTATGTGAATGATACTTGGTATTTCTTTATTACCGTTTGAATAGCACTTTACTCATTTTTAACTGGGTACTTATTTTTTTTGGGTTTCCCATTATTTCGTTGTTAGCAAACTCTATTTGGGACATTATGATCTTCCTGAATTTTAAAATCTGTTTCAAAAGCAAAATAATTTTGAATTATATATTTGGATCTATTAATAGTATCATCTTTTTTATGCAGTAGATAGTGGTAAGTCATGACTCTTACCACTGAGCCAACCCACATCCTTATTTTATTATTACTAGCCAAATGATTATCTTATTTGTTTTTTGAATTAAACTACAAAAAAAATTTATATATTTTTTTAAATAATTGACAAAATTTCTACTATTTATGAAAATAATTCAAAATAAGTATTTAATAATATATATTTTAAAAATAAATTTTAATTTATAAATATTATTAGTATGGTTTGAATTCTGACCTATATATTATTATAATGTGAGCCATTTTCGACCAATCTGGTCATGCTCTGATCCTTTGGGTCCCTCTGCCTTGTAGTGAAGGAGATGTGTTTGTTGGCTTGTTTAGGAAAAATATAAAAAATTCTACATTGATTAGGCTGGGTGTATGACGTACTTATGAAGATTAAAAAGAAAGAGGCGAATTGGCATACCCGAAATATTGTCCCAAATCGAACGCGAATTGAGCTTTTACAATTCACCGCAAGGGCGTTGGTGTTGCTAGTGATGTTATTTTAGATCATTTTACATAATTTTGTCAAAATAATAAAAACAAAAACATGTTCATTTCCAAGTAAAGCACAGAAAATACTGTTGAACTTATTTCTACATCAGTCCCACAGGTTTTAGTTGATAAATTATTTTAATTTATTAAAAGTAATACCACGAGTCCTACAAATTTTATCGATTAAATTTTTAATTTCCACGAAAACGTCTGTATTTGGAAAAACCACGTAAACAAACTGATTTTATATTAAATCGGTTTGTTTGAGAGGTTTTGCCTGAAAGAAAGTCGATTGAGTATGGAAACCCAAAATTTAATAGATCAAATTTGAAAGGACAAGCGGTATTTAAAAATATTGTTTTTGGAATCATTTTTTATGAAAAACATATTTCGAGTAGGTAATAATCCAAAAGTGTTTATTATTCTTTAAATTTGTTTATTTTATAGTAATATAATTTTCTTTTATAGTCTAAAAAAGCGGGTGGTTTGCAAGCTGCCATATTGCCTGGCAAGTGTTCATGAATTTAATTCCGTTTAGTAAAAGTATATTTTAAAACTAATTTCCAGACATTCAATATATTCAAAAAAATATTTACAGTTTTACTTCAAGGCATAAGCTTTTGTTTATTTTTAAAAATATGATCAATCTATCTATCTATTTATGTCATTGACTCTGTCAAATCACCAGGTCCACAGTATTAGGCATTCCAAACTGAATGCCTACCAGTGGGCTTTGACGGGTTATGATATTGCAAAATTATGGCAACCCTGTAGACCTGGTGATTTGACAAGGTCAATGAAATAGATAGCTACATAGTTTGATTATCCATATTTTTCAAAATAAACATATAAGCGTATACCTTGAAGTAAAAATGTAAGCAATTATTTTTTTTTTAAATATCTAAAGGCTAAAAATTAGTTTTTAAACACTTTTTTGCTAAACCGATTCAAATTAATAAATATTTGCCAGGCAATATGGCCGCTCGTAAACGACCAGCTTTGAGCAATCTATATAACTATTATCATGAAACACGGAATCCCAAGAATATCAAGTTAATGATAAAAATTCTTCAAAGAAATAAATTTAAAAAAGTTTCGTCTAAGTATTTAGACTACACCCTGTATAGTGATAAATTTAAAAAGATCAAAAGTAACTAAATGTAGTGAGACAATGTTACCACACGAAAATTATAATTTTTAAAATGTAAATTTGTAAAAAAATTACAACACGGATTTCAAAATAACCTATTAATTAATGAACAATAAATTATCATCGAAATTATGAAATAAGCGGTTTAAATAAACTCACCCTTAAAAATCCAATAATCTAATTTTAAAGATGTAACTAAACTGTCAAAATTTTGATTGGCTAATTCCTTTTTCATCCAACTTGATTCAAAAATCTAAATCAGAATTTGTTGATGAAACAAAAGAGAGTGCTAAAAAAGAAACAAAAGAGGAAGGACACAAAAATTTTTTCCTCCTAATTTCCTCTCCAAACTCCTTTTTCCTAAAAATAAAGAGACAGAAATATTAAATCTTCAATGTTTATGTATAAACGATTAACTAGTGTATAAATGTCAAAGGTAATATTAAATGTAACTTACCCACGCAATATCATGTAAAACTGCCCGAAGAAGAGTCCCCAGGAAGTCATCGATCACCGCTGTATGCACCGGCATACAAGACGTAAGGCCTCCATTTCCCCCAGGTACTTGTAACATCCTTCTGTTATGGCCGCTGAAAAGAAATAAGTTTAACACTTGGATATCTTATATTTCACAGTGCTATACAGGTATTTTAATTAAAAACTATCATTTGTGACCAATTAAAAGAAAGTACTTGCCATAATTGAGTACTTAAGTAATCGTAAAGACGATAAATCTTTCTATTTTTTGTATAAAATAACATCATAATGTTTTTTAGACAATCTGATTGATTAGGTTATGATTTCACATAAGCCATCTTTTGTCCGTCTTGAGAAATTACCACATAGCCGGTCAAAGGAGATCTACTTACGTATTTAAAAGCGCCGTACGGTGGGTAGAATATTAAGCTCGATAGGTAACTGTATTTTTATAGTATAATGCGCCATTTTCGATCCAAGAATCGATCGTTAAATGACGAATTATTTTATTATTTTTGTTTCTATGTTAATTTTTACATTTATGTAACAATATTCTGTTTCTTTTTCCCACATTAGTTACAAAGAATTTTTGAACTCGCACTAAACCCTGATATCAATTATTTTAAATAAAACTACAAGTTATACACAGAGTCTCAAACTTTTACTTATTTTTATTTCAATACAAGAGCTGACAATATACGAGGTACAGAGGTAAGTGTCTTAAATACATGGATGAAAATTTTTAAACCCATTAGTTAAAAGAATTGAGTCATATCGTTTCATTAATTGCATCAGATAACATTTCTGCCGGAGCATTAAGTATTTGTATGGAGGA